GTGTGGAAAAATTAGAACAAGTCATAATCCATGCCATCGATGCCAGCTCAAAAGAAGAACCAATTATTACGAAACAAGGAAGATTCAAAGATATCAGCCCAGAATTAAGAGAATTAATTCGAGAAAAAAACAGGAAAAGAAGAAGAGCTTACAGAACAAGGACACAAGAAGACAAAAGGATTGCAAACGAGCTAAACAGAGAAGTGAAAAGGCAACTACAAGCCCACAACAGTGAAAGCTGGGAATCCTATATCCAGGAGTTAAATCCAAATAAATCCGGCTTCTGGAAGCTATCCAAAGTGTTAAGAAAAGACAAGAAACCCATCCCACCACTACACGGAGAAAACGGAATTGTCTACACTGAACAAGACAAAGCAGAAGTCCTTAAAGATGAATTTGAAAAAGCATGCAGGAACAACGAACATCCACACGAAGACATCGACTTCACTATACAAGTCGAAAACACAGTCAGGAGGCTAAAAAGAAGAAAGGGCAGAATCGGAATAACACATACATCTCCCGAAGAAGTCAAAAATCTAATAAAAGCGACAAATGCTAAAAAAGCTCCAGGACCGGACAACATTGGTAACAGAGCACTCAAGAACCTACCAACAAAGGGAGTAGTATACATCACAAACATCATTAATAGCATACTAAAATTAAGATACTTCCCGGACAGATGGAAGGAAGCTCATGTTATGATGATAGGAAAGCCAGGAAAGGACGGCACTTTTCCACAAAACTACAGACCTATTAGCTTACTATCATCAGTAAGCAAAATAGCGGAAAGAGTCATATTACATAGACTAAACGAAGAATCGCTAGCTTTGGGATCTATTCCAGAAGCTCAGTTCGGTTTTAGGACCGAACATTCATGTGAACTACAAGTTTTGAGGCTGACAGAATATATCACTAAAGGTTTCAACGAAAAGATGTACACAGCAACGGCGTTCCTCGACGTGAGTAAGGCTTTTGATAGGGTATGGCATCAAGGTCTGCTCTATAAAATGAGCAACCTAGGCTATAGTGAAGCGATGACATGTCTTCTTGCGTCATACCTAGCTAACAGAAGGTTCAGAGTTCGAATAGGTTCAACCCTATCTGAATTAGGGACCCTGGAAGCAGGTGTGCCCCAGGGAGCGGTGTTATCGCCTTATCTGTACACTATCTATACAGCTGACACTCCGACAGACCCGAGAACTATGGTTAGCCTATATGCGGACGATACAGCCATAGCAGCTAGCAGTAGAGATCCAAACCTAGCTGCCAGCTACCTACAAAGCGCTCTGAATAGGTTCCAAAGATGGTGCATAAAATGGAAAATTGCACTAAATCCTGACAAGACACAGGCCGTTATGTACAGACACAGAATAAGGAGACCAGACAGGGAAATCACTATAGAAAACACCCCTGTAGAATGGACGAACGAGGCCAAATACCTCGGAGTCATTTTAGACAGAAAGCTCACTTTCACGGAACACGTAAAACAAACTGTCTACAAAGCAAAAGCACTAAGAAGTCAACTCTCTTCGCTAATCGGCAGAAAGAGCAAACTTCGCTTTAAGACAAAAATGAGGGTAGCTAATAGTATAATACTACCCTCCCTAACATATGCATCTGCCGCATGGGGACACACATGTCAAACGAATAGGAAGAAAATCCAAACAACACAAAACTGGATAATCAGAGAAGCACTGAACCTACCTCAATACGTTCCACTGAGGTATTTATTCAGGGACTCTGGACAGAAAAGAATCCTAAGGACAATGGACGAAAGAGCAAACACCATTTTCAATGGTCTCGTAAATCATCCAAGCAGGACATTAAGAGAGTTGACAAACTACGACATAAACACTAGAACGGTACATAAACGGCCAAAGCAACAACTTATTGGATATAGAGAAGAAGGATAAATGAAGAAAGAGATAGACACAGAGCCGACTACAGAGTATATTAGACAGTGAGCACCAAAAAAATATAGTATATAAGAACAATATACACCGGGGTGTGTGCAGGCACTATACACCCGGGAATGCACACCCCACCACACACACACTTAGGTTAGATTAGGTTTAGATTAGAATAGGGAAAACAAAAAACACAAAAAACATATACACGGAGTGTGTGAGAGCGTTATACACTTGGGAATGCACACTCCATAGTTAAGGTCCATAGTTAAGGTATTAGCATAGATAGACTTAGTTTAAAAAAAAAAACAAAAATCGCTCACTGTCTAATTAATGTCATGTCATCTTCAAGATAAACAAGAACACCCGTTACATCACAAAAATTTACATAACACAAAATAAGAATGTATAAAAGGCCCGTCAGGCACTCTATACCAGCCAGCAGGCACAGGCCCTTCAGGCAGATCAAATATTGATCAAACGCGGACTCTGAGCATCGAGGTCATGTGCGGCAAGCATGGGCTCGGTGGCCAGGACTCACTTCTCGAACACCCAGCCGGCGAGGAGAACAAAATTTTTATTTTGTCAAATCGGCGACTGAGTGAACGAGCACACACATTCTTTTCCAGACAGAGAGCTGTCGGTCTAGACCGATGGCTCTCTGTCTGGAACACACGCTCTTTTTAGGGACATGAGTCCCGAAGTAAAGCTAGAGTAACTTCTATAGAGTCAGTAAAGTTAAATAGGGAGAAAAGCCGACATGTGTGCTACCCCTACAGTTAGGTGGCCTAACCACAGTCATTAAAAACAGAAGGTGTCTCATTACCCAAGACACCTTACGTAACATTCAGATCATAAGCCTCCTCACGTAAGTCACACGCTGAGGAGGGGTGGAGGAAAAAGCCTGGGGGTCAGATAGGTACCACCTCAACTAGTGAGGTGTAACCGGTTTGATTTTCGGACATGTGGATCCCACTCTTACAGTGGTATACACATGTCCCTAGGGGTAGGGTTGATCGCCTCGCGTGATTGTGTGTGTGTGTGTCATAGTGTGTCAAGTGAATCATAATCAATAATAGTGAGGCGCTATCAATCTAAATCCGATTAATACTGCAGCCCCCACTCCTTGATTTTCGGTACACTTCGCTAAGGTTTATGGATGTACCCAATAAATACAAATCTTTTAACAATAGGTACGCAAACTGTCTCGACCATCCTTTACAATTAGGAACATAATGTAATAGGCATAATAAAATCATTTCAATTTGAATATTTCTTACCTGGTAATTATTCTGTTAAATATAACAATTCCATTATATTTACTAAAACTTAACTTGATTTCAGTTATTTTATATTCATAAAAGGGACTCATGATTTGATTTCTCTTAGCAATGTACTCACAACTATAATCATAGCCAATTTTTTAAAACAGTTAAAATCTATAATTTTTGTAATAAAGTATTATAAACAATGACTAGGCTGGTAAAAATATAGTAAAAATCTAGCAAAGCACTTTTGTATTTTCAAAAAGATTTAGCATTTAGCTAGCGTGAATGCGTAATTTGTTCACTCGACGCAATTTTGACTTTTCGCTTGGCTTCCTTTGAGCGAACTTGGAAAGCACAGACTTGGGTTTTAGAGGGATTGGATCTCAGGGAATTATGCAGATAGTACGCTGTCATTGGTTTTTAAGCAATTTCGAGTTGCCCCTCCACTTTTTCATAACTATTTTCTTGAGAACATATTGCAAGATCGTCAGCATCAAGGAAGGGCTTGATTTCGGTTGGTCGTTTGTGTATATATTGAAGAGCTTTGGTGCTAAAACACTTCCCTGTGGGAGGCCGTTTTTTTTAACTCTCCACCTACTTACTTTACCCTCCAGCATAACGAAAAAACGGCTAATTTGCAGTAAGGAATATATAATGTGTCGTATAATTTTCGGAGCAATGTTTTGTGCCTTACTATGTCATAAGCTGCTGTCAAATCTATGGAAAGCAGCCTCTGTTATAAGTTTTTCTTCAACGCCCCCTTCAATGTGTTCTGTTAGTGCGAGGACTTGACCGGTGCAAGATTTGCCGGGTCTGAATTGTCCTTGTTGTGGGATAAGGTGCTTGTCGACATTTTTTTCTATTCTGGCGAGTATGAGAATTTTCGTATAGTTTGAAAAAGTGACACAATAGCGAAATAGGTCTGTAGCTACTGGGGTCTTCTGGATCCTTTCCTGGTTTTAACAAGGCTATTACTTTAGATTTCCCTTTGGAATTTTGCAGGTTTTGCAGCACGTGTTATAAAATTGCAAGATCCAGTTTTTTGCTCCTTGGCCTAAATGCTTTATTTGTTCACTGCATATATCATCCACACCTGCAGCTTTCCCGTTTTTTAACCTGTTCATACCGTTGTGGAGTTCTTTTAGTGTGAAAGGAGTTCCTAGGTGGTTTGTCTCCGAATTCAATCTTCTCCTAGTGTTTGGGTCCTTATATCGGTTAGTAGTTCTTTCATTCATAAGGAGTTGAGCAGCGAATTCGTTTGCTGTGACCTTGCAAGGTGGTTTATGTTCTTTTCCATTCCGTCATGAGAAGGTACCTACAAAAAGTGAACTTGGATGTTCTTATTTGAAATGTTTTTAAGTTCTTTTTTAATAAGAAGTAGAAGGAGGTTGTCACAGTAGAATTGAGTCAGTGAGGACAATAAACTTAGAGAATCTGTGATTATTATACATATTTCTTTGTTTTTGTTTTGTATTAACGATAGTGCTTTTAGAATTGCGAATAATTCAGCCGAAAAGATGGTTGTAATTAATTGACGACAATTTGAAACTAACTGAGTAGTGTTATATTGATTGATTTTAAAAATATATACAATTTTATTCCATTAAAAAAATATATTACACAGAATACTAAAAAATTACACACATCATTACAGCAAGATATTTTAAGCTTATGTAATATGAGTATGAGTATCGAAAATTCATTAAGCAAATACCACTTGAAATATTAATAGTACCATAAACTATTTTATGTGATAAATTATAAAAAAATTTGCTATGATATGCATTTATCGATAACACACTATCTTTTTTTATTATCAGAAATTGAATGTAACCCCCATATAGTGTGTGTATCGACAAAAGTCCATTCGTTTTACTATAAAGTTTACCAATAAATCGTAAACATTTAAATCAAAACACGCGAGAAGGGTTGAAACGTTGGCTAGTTGAGGAAACTGTAGTCGAATGAGGACGTAAAAGAGGTTCTTTCATTATCATATTTAGGACATTCAAAAAATGTATGGTTTTGATCTGTGAACGTCTTATTATCACAAGAATAGTTAGGTAAGTCTATAATTTTTATTTTATTTTACAATAATTTTGAGCAGGGGTCGCAAAACCCATATGCCTATTGAATTACAATGTTATATACTATGCAATTAAATGGTTACATTACACTAGTTACATATTAAGCACTAACGAACTAAACAAATATACAAAAATATAGGTAATAGCAAGTGTTTAGTACAAATTAAATGTTCAACTATGAATCAAATGGTCATCCAGTTTATTTTTGAAAATATTGACAGATGGAGCATCTACGATCTCAGCCGGAAGGCTATTCCATATCGAGAACACTCGATTACAGAGAAAAAATTGTCTAGTTGTTGTTAAAAAAGTTTCTTTTTTAAACTTAACTTTGTGGCCACAAAGACGATTGTCATTGTCTAGTATAAACATATCTCCCACATTACCAAAGTTGTATTTTACTAGCCGAAACGTAATAATTAAATCGCCTCGAAGTCGAAGTTGTTCAAATGTAGTGAGATTGGCCATATTTAGTATTTCTGTATACGTAGATCTTGAGCGACCACAAGACATCCCAGTGCACTGCCGCTGTACGTTTTCGAAAATCTTACGATTGCGCACTAATACCGGACACCAAACAGTTCAGCAATATTCCAGAACTGGACGAATGTACAATTTATACAGATGAACTGGGCTCATAAATGACACTTTCGCAAACGTTTAATAAAATATGTTCCGACCAACTTAGATTGTTATTAATTATAACATCTAGATCATTAGATAATTTCACTGTTTTTAAGACACGGATAATTTTTACCCATGAGAAGAACTACACATTTCTCCACATTAAAAGACAGCATCCAAGTAGAGCACCATTCCGATATGCTTCCTTCTAATCAAGGTCATCTTGTAGTAACTGGAAATTTACGGAGGGATCGGAAAATAGCTTCGTGTCATCTGCATAGAAAGCTTTGTTGTATTTAATGTGAAATTGTAGATCACTTGAGTATGCTATGAATAAAAGTGGGCCCAAATCTGATTCTTGCGGTACCCCACTTAAAACCGTTCTCTCCAATGAGAAATAAACCCCAACTCTAACACAAAACTTTCTATTTATTAAATAAGCATCGATCCATTTCAGTAATTGACCACGGATACCAAGGTGTTCCAATTTATGTAATAGTCTTCGCTTTGGAACTCGATCAAAAGCTTTAGCAAAATCAAGGTAAATAATGTCTACCGTGGCTTTTCTGTCTAATGCTTTTGACCATTCATTGACACACCAGAGAAGATTTGTCATTGTAGAATGGCCTTTGACAAAACCATGCTGCTGTTCTGCTATGACTAGTTAATTTTGCAGAAAATCAGAAATTGTCTCGGCAATAATACATTCCATTATCTTAGATATTATAGGTGTGAAGCTGATAGTTATTAGGATCCAATTTATTCCCTTTTTTAAAAATCGGTGTTATAGATGCGGTTTTCTATATAAGAGGAAAATATGTGTGGTAAATGATAAGGACATAATCACATATGTATAGTGGGTAAGCTAAAGCATCAGAACATTTCTTAAAAAATTAAGAAGATATTAAGTCGAGACCAGGAGACGAATGATTTTTTAGGCTTTGAAGATGATGTTTAACTTTTTCAGGACTAATGATTATATTTTCAAGGGAAGAAGAAACTCATGACGAAGTAATATTATGTAACTAATGATTAGTGGGTTCGACAGAGAAAACCACAGAAAAAGTACTGGCGAGGACTTCGGCATTCTCATAGTTATTTTGGGATATATCCCTATTATCATTTTTCAGTAAAGGTATAGAAACTTGTGTTGTCAACGAAGATCTAATATACTTGTACAATTTTTTACAGTCATTACTAATGGCTATACTTTCTTCGTAGGCAACACGAGCTTCATGATGAGATTTCTTTAAATTTTTGGCAAAGTCTCGATGAATTAGTAAATCCTATATGCGATTTGTACGTCTATATTTGTTTCACAACTTTCTTTTATACTTCATCAGATATATTAATTCCAATATATAAATCCAATATATATAAAATAATAAACATCATTCCAATCAATATCAGCCAGCGATTTGCATTTTCAAAATCAATTATTTCATATACCGTTTTATTAACATTAGGATTAGGAGTGCAGTACTGTAAGTTAAACTGAATATGAAACGTTATCACTGCATGATCTGACTTACCTACTGGAAAGATTATAAGCTTTATATAAATTTACAGTAGTTTTACATTACATATGGTTACAGATTATGATGTTTAAGTTACCGTTGGAATTGGTAACATGGCGACGTATGACCCTACATAGGTAAAATGGTCCTGAGACGAAGTGTCTTCGAGGACCTGTTGATAACAAGTTGTTATCAACATATATAATGTAAAACTACTGTAAATTTATAACATTTAAAGGGTTTTGACCCATATATTTTGGTGGCTCATAGCATGTATATCTCGTTTGCACTGATGATGGATTTAACAATCCGAAAACGTTTTGTAATTTAATTGTTATAGCCCGTTTGAGCATTTTATTATATACCTTTTATAAAGGATTTGAAATAAATTTTTTGTGATATATGGTATACAGCCAGCTACAGGAACTTAGTTTCCTAGTGGACTTTTTTCCAAAATAGATGGTAAATTATTGATTCTGAAACGAGTTGGCTCCGTTATGAATTGATGTAAATTAGAATTTAATACAAAATCTGTAAATACATTTTTGGCTGTCAAAGTTATTAAGCTACTAGTTGGGTCAGTTATAGTCCACGAAATGTCTCTAAAATTAAAGTCTCCAATAACAATCAGACTCTCTAGCCTAGACAGTTCATCAAGTAATGCGATAAGGGACTCATTATCTGCTAATCTAGAATCACCAGGCCGATAAACACATACTAGGTGAAAAACAAAGGAGTTTTTATAACATATTTTTAAGCCAAGAAGTTCTATATTAGGGACAGTAATGTCATGAGATGTAACAGAGAAATTATTATTAATTTCTGAAGACAAGTAAATACAAGTTCCTCCTCCACGTCGATTACGACGATCACACCTATAAAGGGAATAATTATCAATGTAATAAAGAGAGTCAAGATCATTAATTTGGTGTTAACCATGTTTCAGTGATAAGAATTATTTGAGAATTTAGGTTTTGAATGTTGCATAAAAATTCATTAAATTTGGAACTTAAAGTAGCTAGATTAGTATAGAAACAGAGCCAATTATGAAAACCTGAAGTATCAGAATTAGTGACGAAAGTTTACAATTTTCGGGACACCTTGTATATATTTTTTTATGGTTAAATTTTCCTCTCTATTCGATTTTCTCTGTTCCAGTTCCACTCAAAGTTTTTTTAGGCATTCTATTTGATTTGAAGTCTTATCGTCTATGATGGAAACGTTTTTTAAAAAGACGTTTTGTAAAAGTTTCTTTTTGTTTTTCAAAATATGTTTGGCTTCATGTGTATTTTGCATAATGACCTTTATCATCCTAGGAAAGCGATTATTTGGTTTTCCAATCCTGAAAAATGTGACAGGAGTGGAGTTACACATTACAGTATCTAAAATATTTTTTAATATTCCACCATCTTTACTTTTCTTTATTTCAATGTCTCCTGTAATTTCTGGTACACCCCTAACAAATATCTTCTTAACCCGGTTAATGCGATCCACTGCTTCATTTGCTATGGTATAGGTAAATTTTGGAGATGAAGAATGATCCTCAGTAGATAACCTGTTTTTGATCTGTAAAAGTCTTTCACTGATATCATTAGCTTTTTGATTTATTAGATCAATTTTTGATTGAAGATCCTGTTTTGGATCTCTTAATATCATCTTTAAATTAGCAAAACTTTCGATATTAGAGCAGCAGTTGTTGCAAATAATTCTAATTCCACGTAGCTTATATCATTCCAATATCATGCCTTCAGCACTGCTGCACTAAATCCTAGTCAAAATATAAATATTGAAATAGTGGTTTTGTTATAACTATAATCTGTTACTAGGCTAGTACTAAAATTGGGGGTAAAAAATAAAAAGTATTATTGGGGGTTGGGTTGAGGGGGCGTCGCAAAAAATAGGAAAGTTCTAAATGCTTTACAGTACGAATAAGTTTGGGAAGCCCTGGTCTATACAAAGATATTTAAGAAAGTAATTAACTAAGTTCGTTAAACTTTAAATAATCTTCTCACAGAAATTTAAAAAAATACTAAGTTATATAAAAATAACATAAAAAAATAGTTTAATGTAACTTTTGCTCAATTTTGTGTTTTAAGAAATAAATCAAATAAGTTATATAATGAATATTATTGATTGAAATAAGTCGCTACAAACATTATTTAATTATTTACAAATTATTTATTTTCATGTATTTACATACAAGAACGGAAGACACATATTATGTATATTAAACAAGTTGCTTAGAAAACAATTTTTTATCCAACCTTTTACGTCAATAAAATTCAGTAAATTATTTATTACTTTTTTGACCTAAACGATTTCTAATAGATATGTAGGAAATTAAAAGTCAAACAATTGACAATTACATAAAAAACTACTGTGTCAATGGCTTCTTGTTGTCGATAATATGAATGACTTTTATTTGATATAAACCATTTTATACAGTGTTGTCCATTTAGTTTATTTCATGTTATGTTCAAGTACAATCCATTCAACCAACTTACTCCTTTAAACGATTAACGGAATTAACAGAAAACCTTTTGTTGTAGTAAAGGGCACGGTAAACTGTACTGGTGTTCTACATAATGTTTAACACTTTGCTAAATTTTAGGTATAAAATAAATATATATGTTGATTTTTGAAATGAGGTTGAATGCTCGAATAAATGATCTTTGAAAAATAAGGCTATTATCGAGCACAAGTTAATTAAATCTAGCCCAAGTACTTTCGCTTAAAATAGCATCTTCAGGGGCATTTCGTCAAATGTAAACTATCCGGCAAGCGTAGAATGTGGAAACATTAATATAAGCATTAAGATACTGACAAAGAATGTAG